TCAGACCTCAGCCAGGGGCCTTGCGCTCTGTGGCCCCAAGAAAGTAGGATAATTTCGGGGAGAGCAACCTCACGTCCCCCAAGCCGCGCCTTCCTACCCGTGTGCCCTGTGCACCCGCACGTTCTCTTCTCTCCAGGCCGTTCTGAAGGCGAGCAAGGGAAGGGCCTCCTCTCCAGGTGTCAGGTAAGAGGCTGTGGTAGTGGCCCAAGAGCCGACGGACGATGGAACAGCGCAGAGCGAGGAACAGGCCCCACGCACACGCACGTCGCTCGCGAGGAAGGTCACACTCGGGGGAGTGGAGGGCGTATGTCTCTTTCACAAATAATGGGGGCAAATGGACAGACACACGAGACACAGGCTTGAACTGTGACCTACGCCGCACTAGGCATTCACCCAGGTGAACTATAGATGGAAATATAAAAGAGACCACGTAACTTTTAGAAGAAAATAAGACTATTGTCATGAACTTGATTTAGTCAAAGATGTCTTAAACAGAACATAAAGGGGGAAAGATTATAAATAAAAGTACAAGAAGAGGAAAACCTTCTAGTCATCAGAAAGCACTTGAGAGGGTGGAAAAGCACGCGCAGAGCCGCGCGGCGCCGCGCTGCCCGCGCCAAGAAGTGGGCGCTGTGCGCACAGCCGCCGCGGGCGAGCGCGGGGAAGCGTCCGGTTGCGGGAGCACAAGGTGCGGTTCCGCGGCGCCGAAACATGCACTTGGTCAAAACACATATTTTGACAAAAAATAGGTATAATTTTAGAAAAGTAACTTCTAAATCAGATTTAATTTTCCTCACAATTAAACAAATATAAAGTAATTAAAGAAAGGAGAAATACAGGTTGGAAATATAGACACCAAAGTGCTAACACTAGTGCACTCTAGAAGAGGTACAGTCCTGACTCGTTCACACCAGCGGCTCGTGCTGTGCTGGCTGCTGTCACTTTTTTATTTGACAGCCTAAGGGAAAAAGGGTCAGTGTCCCTGACGAAATAGTCAAGTGTTGCGTGTTTAAAAATCCTCGAGGCGCACAGGTGGACAATCGCTGACCTAATGGGAGGGGAGACGCCTCCTGAAGGGAATACCCAAATAACCCGCGGAACGTGGAAGGGTGCTCCGGTCCATCTGACTCCAGGGACGCGCAGCCCTGGGCCGCAGTGGCGCACCAGCACACGGCCAGGACGACCGAAGGGCGTGTGCCACGGCTGGGACCCGGACGCGTGTGCCGGTGGCCATGTGGACAGCTGGGCCACTTTCAGGAGCTGGTGGGCAGCGTCCACAGAGACTGCGCATGAACACCCTTGCCACAGGCAATCCACTTCCTGACTGACAGACGAGGAATTGTGCAGATATGTTCATCTAGACACATGTGTAAGCGTGTTTGTGGCCACACTATGTACAGGGGCCCAACACGGGAAACAACCCACGCTGGTCTGCAGGAGACCGCACACGTAAATCATAGCGTACTAATACCAAACAACACCGTCAGCAACGAGAGTACATGAATTGTGTCTACAGGCAACGCCACGGACACATTTCACATACGCGATGTTGAGGGAAGCCGGACATGAGAGGACCTTCCCTATAATGTCATTGATAGAAAGTTCAACCACCAGCAGAATTAACCGAAGGTGTCCGCAGTTGGGAGGGGCAGGCGTTGTTTTAAGACTAGATGAATGTATCCCGTGTCCTATTATAAATACACATAATTTGAGTTACCCTTGCTTTTGTTCAAAATGATCGTCATGGTATTTCAAGTGGGAAAACTAAGAACAAAATAGTTAAGATTATTGCCCAAGATATAAATTCAGTTCAGGTTGCCAATCTGTTCTACTATAAAGTCTGAATAAAATGTGTCTCAATTTTGCAAAACTTCAGGTTCTCTTTCTGAAGCCTTCGCTATTTTGTTTAGTTTTTCAGATGCAGACATGGATGCATCTGAAAAACTGGAGGGAAAAGTGAAAAATTACTCTGAAATCAATCCCACGTAGGCAGCCACTTTCTCAGTCAACCCCTATGTTATGAGGCTGACGGGACACCCACAGCACTGTTTCTCAAAGTCGGGCATGGGGAACCCTGCGCTGCCACCTCTCTCGGAATCTGTTGCCACGCCCGTATACAATGGGGGTGGCCACGGCAGCACCTCGTACAGTTCTGGAGATGAAACGAGATCAAAACGCATCATCCAGGAACGCAGCTGCTCAGTGGGGGCGCACATTGAACACAAACGCTCTTAATTTACGTTAACGGCGCCTGGAGGATAGCCCCACACGCTTGTTAAATTACTACTGATTCCCCAGCCCAACCCCCGCCCCTGGAGTGGACTCATGGGCAGGCCCTGGGAACCTGCCCTGTCACCCGCATTGGGCGGCTGCGTTGTGCACCCACGCGTTGGAGGACCGCTGTGCGGCGGTGCGGGCGCACTCGTTCGTCCCTCGAGGTCCCGCACGGGAACGGGCCCAGGCCGGGGGCCTGCGTCGGACAGGCCGGCGGGGGCTCCCTGTGGCCGTGCAATCTCCTGTCGAACCTGGGACTGCAGACCCGCGCAGCCGGAGCAGAGGGATTTTTACGTGGACTCCAGCGAAACGTAAGGGAGGGTTGCTTGGTTAATAGTTACCAAAACGAGCTCAGCTTCAACCTTTGAAACCCTTTGAATCCTCTCAGATTCATATAACCTAGTTTTTCCTTTAAAATAATCTGGCCCATTTACATTTTCATTGTTGCTTTTTTTTTTTTTAAATATGTTACAGGATCCAGAATACACAGACATGTCCTCTCCATGGGGAAGGTGTTCCCTGTGTCGTTAACACCGCACAAGGCCCAGGACTAGGTTCCAGAGCCACTCCCTTCCTTAGCCTGTGCTGTGTGCTCCGCGGCCAAGTCCAGCAGTTTGGCAGGTGCACAGGCCCCGTAATCGACAGAAGCTCCTGTTGGCGCAAGGTGCGCCCCGTGCTGCGCTGAAAAAAGATTTCAGCCGAATAAATCTCACCACGGGCGGCTCGGCAGCATTGAAAGAACGGGGCAGTCAACCTCTGACATTAGAGAAACATTAGGGATATTTTCCAGCTTCTTTTCTGTTTCGTGTCATTAAGTCAATGTAAACAGTAGAAGAAAAACCTAGATACGGGGCTGGCCAAAAAGTCCGTTCAGTTTTTTTGTAAAATAAAAGATATTTTTCATTTTCACCAAGAACTTTATTGATTTGGATATTGTGAGCATGTTGGTTACCTCCCATGTGGTAGAACGTTGATTGTTCTCAATAAGGTCTCGACTGAATCGCTGTCAACTTCGGCTGGTTCACCCGACCGCGGAGCATCGTCCGGCGAGAAGTCTCCAGCACGAAACTTCAGAAACCACTTCTGCCGTGTTTGATCACAGCACCTTCTCCATGTGTTGCACAAACTTTTGTGTTTCAGTTGCATTTTTACCTTTCTTAAGCATAATAAAGTATAACATGCTAAAAATGTTGCGTATTTTCTTCCATCTTCAATATTAAAATGGCTGCACAAAAATTCACCAATTTTGGTGAGTTTTTTTAAATGCATGCTGATATGACAGCTGTCACAATACAATCGAACAAAACATTTCGGAATGAAGTTACAGACAACAAAGCACTACTACGCCAGGTTACGGAAAAACCGAATAAACTTTTTGGCCAACCCAATAGCCGTCAGGGCAAGATAACAGTAGGAACTAAATTTTGTGTGGTGAAAAGCCGGACAGAAAAAATTCGCATCATTCCGTTGCACATTGTCCAAGTCCTGTCGACTGAGTAAATGTAAATTCTGCGGTTTGTGGAGGGGGGTCCGTCCTTAGGACACGTGCGTTTCAGAAGCCGAGTGCGAGCGGCTGATCCTGGACACGAGAGCGCAGCCCCCAGGCGGCCGGACAGACTTACCTTCCCAGGCCACTAGCTGCTCCTGTGGAAATGGCAGATGCCCCTGACTCTGCCACAACGAACCTTCAACACGAGTCTGCAGTGCCGTGAGACTTCTCTCTCTTTCTCAAGAGAGGAAAGGGTGTTGTTTTTCTTTCTTTTCTGGCAGTGATGCTAAGTCCTGACCGTTTGCGGAGCAGTGGGAACCACGCGGCAAGCAAAAGTGTCTGCGAGACAGAGATGCCTACAAAATGGTCTTTATTTTTCCAGTGGATACTGGCCGCTCTCGTGGGATCCGGTTCCAAGAACAACCTCACTGGAGCTGACGTCACAAGACACACACACGCGGAAGCCTCACGGCCCCTCCTCCCCGCCCGTTGCAGCCTGACCTCTGACCCTGGAGCTCAGAGCACCTCCACTCCAGGGCTGAACGGGGGCTTCCACATTAGTTACGATAATACTGAAAACCTTACTTAAGCATCCTAATAACCTTACTTTTCTTATAGTTACTCAGAAAATTCCCAGGCACAAGAGAAGCAGAGAAAATTCAGAGGCAGCTGGACTCCCACTGAGTCTTCGCAGGGTTTCCTTGCCTTTTGAGAGCATCTCTGGGCATGGCCTGTGCTAGATTCCGGAGGAGGTGACTTATCAAAGGCTCCTCAGAATTTATGGGCCGCCCCGCCCCGCGCCCCGCCCCGGGTGCTCTCTCTCTGGGTGACCTGTGGATTTGATGACTCAGTTCTAGACACAAACCAAGAATTGTAGACAAATGGTCTGTCTTTCCTGTCAGTGGTGGTGACTGAATTCCAGGGTGACATGGGACACTCGCTCAGCCTGAGCCTGCCCACCCCGGGCTGACTTGGGAGAGGGGGCCCCTGGGGGCAGGCTGGGGGGTGGGGGAGAGCGGGGGCGGGGCGGGCCGCTGGCAGGGCAGTTCTGCTCCCGGTACCAGTAACGGAACACCATGGGCCTTCCCGCCCTCCCGGACGCATTCACGCGCTCGCTCTTTCATCTGCACTCATTCCGTTGTTCCCCACATTTCTCTACTCTCCCAAATCAGGAGCTGGATCTTAGTTAAACGCTTAAGGTGTTCAAGGAACAAACGCACAACACGGTAACACTTACTTTCCAGTAATAAACTGACTTCTGGACGGTGTGCAAATAGGCTGGACATAGTAGTTCTCCAGTTTGACCCCTTCGGCCGCGAGCCTGTCCAGAGTGGGGGTCCGAATCTCCGAGCCGTGGTAGCCCACGTCCCTGAAGCCCTGGTCATCGGCCAGGATGAAGATGAGGTGCGGCCGGGAGCTGGCGGGAGCGCCGGGCTGCGGCCTGGGTTCAGCGTCCTGGTCCTCGCGGCTGCGTGCCCAGGACGGCTCGCCACAGGGGAGGAGGCTGAGGACCCAGAGGCCTGCCAGCGCGCGCATGGCCGGCGCCCGTCGGACCCCCGGCCGCTCGCAGCCCCCCAGGGCCATGCGCTCCAGTCCCCGCGGGGTCCCTGCGCCTCCAGGCGCACATGCATGCGGGAGCGGGAGACCCGCGCCGCGCCCGCGTCTGTCCAGCGACTTCGATCTCCTACCAGGGGTGGCTCCGCGGGCCGGGGAGTGGGGGAGCGGCCGTCTCCATCACCTCCCCGTCTGTCCTCCCTGGGCCGGCAGCCTCCGCGGGGTCCGTCTCGCCGCCCAGAAGTTCTCGGGAAAAACGTCCAGGGAGGGAGAGGACATCACCAGGCAGCTCTGCGTGGCCGAGCCCTGGATTTGGGGCGAGGCTGTCGGGATGCGTAGACAAAGGGATCTCCACCTGGAGAGACCGCACCCGGGTCTTCCCCTGGCAGGTGAGATGCTGCCCGGGAGGGCGCGCCCGCGCCGGTCACTCTACTGTCCCGGTCACTCCGGTGTCCGGCCCTCCTTCCCCGGGCCCCGCTGACACCGGCCGGTCTCCGGCCCCGCCCGGTGCTGGGCGCAGAGAGGAGCCAGTTTCCTGGGGGCCTGCACGGCCGACCCCGTCCTCGGCGAAGGTGCCGCCGGGCCGGCCCTCGCGGCGCCCTGGGTCCTGGTCCCCGCGGAGCCGAAGAGCTCGCGCTGCGGCCGCAGGCGATGCGTCTGCTCCGGGCCGGCCCCCCCACCCCCACTCAGTGAATGAATCACCGTCGGCGCCGCTGCTCCAGCTGGGGGGTGGGGAGGCCGGCGCTTCCTCCCCACGGGAGCCCGGAGGGGGGGCGGGGGCCGGGGCGGGGGCGGGCGCTTGGGCGCCGACCGGCTCTGGGAGCGCGGGGCCCGCCGCCCGGGCCCCAGTGCCTGTGCGGACAGAGAGGGAGAGTCCGCGCCGGTCTCTGTCGGAGACACTAGGGCTCCCCCTTCCTCTCCGGGTTCCTTCACTCCTCCATCCCCGCCTTGAAACAGCCTTGGGTTGGATCCCCGTCCTGGGCCGTGGGCAGCCCCGCTCCTTCCTGGTGGTGGCTCCCCACGTGCTGGGGCGCCCCGTACGCGCCCCCGCGCGCCCCGCCCCGCCCCGCCCCGCCCCGCCCCGCGGCAGAGCCCGCCGGAGCCGGAGCGGAGCCGGAGCGGACCTGCCTGCGCGGAATCGCGGCCTGACGCTGCTCCGGGGCAGGACCTCCCGCCTCCGCGCGGACAGTCGGCGGCGGCACCTGAAATGCGACTCCCAATCGCCTAAGCGTAAACCGAGGTTTCACCGAACTGTTTAGTTTCAATCCCTTCCTGTTGCTAAAGTTCCCATTAAGTTTTCAGGCAGGATATGGGTGAACGGGAAGCTCAGGATCCGTCCGGACAGAGCTGGCGTTGTTAGCGCGGGGCCTGGGGCAGCTTCCTCCTCCGAGGCCTCCCCAGCCACTCAGCAGACGGCAGCTTAGGGGACCCCATCGGAGCCGGGGTCTCGGCGACTCTGAGTCAGGTCGCCAGGCACGTTGCGCGTGGACTGCGCGCTGGGTGAGGGGAAGCGCGGACAGGCCCCACTCCTGCTTTGTGGGCCCCGCGAGGCAGCCACGTGGGGCAGATGCGAACCTTCATGTGCCTCCCGCCGCTCGTGGCCGGGGAGGGGCAGCGACCTGGCCCAGCAGGGCCCGGCCGCCGCACTGGGAGGAGGGCCACTCTCGGTTCAGGTCTCATGAGAGTGGAAAATAATAACAGTAACATCACGGAGCGCTTACCGCGCGCGCACCACAGCCGATTAGATGCAGGGCGCACAGGCGCGCACACGCCCGCAGAGCGTATACAGGGAGCTTTGCGCATCTGCCTCCCTACCCTCTGCCCGCCGGGCGCCAGTGCCCGTCCGCGTGTAGGGGCGCCCCCTGCTCAGCCTCTGCTCCAGTGAGCCTCGCCTGGTGACGGGGAAGCGACAGGCTGGGCAGCCCCACCCCCGACCCGTAGGCGACCAGCCGTTGCACCGTCCCCTGAACAAGCATGCAGACACGGGTCCTGAAAGGACCCAATTCCGAGACACTTTAATACAGACACCCGACTTGGAATGGGCGTGCGTGGTCAGTGGGCCCGTGACAAGGGCGGGGGCTTCCAACGGAGGGAGATGCTGTTCTGTGGATTGTACCACCCCCTTTTTCCCCAGAACATTTAGACTGAGACATCTGTTTGACTGCCAAAACCATGTCATAAAAGATACTCTCCAGGAGTGGGCTTTGAGGTCTCCGGCCGCCACCCAGCACAGAATGGCGACCGCGAGGAGAGCCTGTTGGCCTCACCCCGGGCGCGCACCACCGCCCTCCCCGGACAGGAAGACGGAGAGCTGTGTCCAGCTGGTCATAAGGACGGAGAGACAAGTGTGGCCGCCCAGCAGGCTGCGTCGGGGGAGACCTCAGGGGAGCTCTGCCGCCTGCGTGCCCTGCCCCCGTGGGAGACGGGCAGGGTCAGCCCCGCGGCCGCGAGGGAGGCCTGAGCAGGAGTCTGACCGGGCGCCCTGGGCTTTAGGGAACCTGAGCCTCACGCGCGGAGTGGACGGCCCTCGGACCCTCCCTAACCAGCGCGAGCATGTGGGGTTCGGGCGTCAGCCTCCGGTAGGGAATCACATCTTTGGTTTAGCCTGGCCTGAGTGTGGTCAAATTACAAACACACTCCTCCAGGGACATGATTGTATAAAAATTAAAGGTAATACTTGATTCAGTTAAAAGTTAGAGAGTTGCTTAGAGGGGCAGGTCGTGTGGACTGGTGGTTCAGGGGAGGCTCGGCCGGGAGGTGGGACGGAGACCCCGCCCCACAGCGCCAGGGGCGCCCGGGCAGGAGGCGAGGAAGCTGCTGGGGGCTGCGGGTAGGAAGGGGGAGAAGGCCGGCGGCCGGGCGTGCCTGGGCCAGACGCTGACAGGCTCCGGAAAGGGGCAGGCGGCTGGAGCCTGGGTAGGAGCAACGAGGTCCTTTGAACAGGACGTAACATGAGAAACTATGAGTAAGTCTTGTTAAGTGGGTCTGTGGGGCGGATTCACAGGAAGAGAGGCGACAGATGAGTTGCCTCAGTCCGCCGAATTTTGAAGAGTTGTTATTTTACCGAGAACACTGGGGCGCTCGAAGGCTTCTGGTGAGAGCAAGACGTGATGAAAACGAGGAACAGGAATCCCTGGTCATTTTCAGGGCCAGGCTGGAGGGAGCGAAGACTAGACCCTCACGCGGCCACAGTGTGTCCAGTTTCGCAGCGGTCTGTCCTCGGGTGGGGGAGCCGTGCCGTGGCTCCGTCCCCTGACAAGCGGGGGCATTTGCACAACGTTTAGCGAGAATCCATCAGCCCAGAGGAAAGCAAGGGGCAAGGGGGCCTCTTCGATTGGGTGATGGAATGAAGAGGGAGCCCGCAGGGGCCGCGCGGGGCGGCGAGTGGCTCCCGCAGGGGCCGCGCGGGAGAAGGCGGCGCAGGGTGGCCTGGGCTCCTCAGGGGACAGGCCACGGGGAGTGGGTGGCCCGGGGCACAGGGTGGGATTCAGGAGTGGAGGCGAGGGCTATCAGAAACAGAGAAAATAAGAGAATCAGAGAACAAAAAAGTGAAGTTGCACAGCGTTTCTTTGAAAGGGACATTGCCAGCGGCCCCCAGGAGGCAGGGGCGGAAGCACCCGCCCCCCACAAGCCCGTGTCCTGCTCAGTGAGAGCGCGAGCCCACCCGCTTTCTTTCCCAGGTGTTTGCTTTCACCAGACGTGTACTCAGCTGCTTGAAAGATGTAGCTAATTTTTAAACACAGGTTTAAAAAATTGTGAACATGGTCAGTCCAGGGATTTATGGACTACTGTAAAGATTGAAAATGCAATTGCTGCTTCTTGGGGCTTGTAAGTACATTCAATACTTAAAAATGAAGGAACGTCACCAAGTGTCAATTCACGCACAGTCCAAAGGGGACGCTTGTCCTCACGTGGGCGCCTTGACGTGGGCCCCACCGAACACACTCCCTGCCAACCGTCGCCAGCTCTCCATCAAGCGCGGGCCGAGGCTGCTGGGAGCCCTTAAACGTCCCAAGACATGGGCACGCCCTGAGTGCGACCGAGTGTGGTGGCGGCCTCTCTGCTCTAGCAACCAAGTGAAAAGCTGTTCCTTTTGGGGAGAGGTCTCTGTTGAAACAAGCTGCAATAATCTGTGAAGAAAGGGCAAGTAATGGGAGGCCCCCAAGTCCTGGCCGCGGACAAACGCCGCTTCCTGAGTGCTGTCCACCCAGGTTCAGCGCTGGAAGCTCAGGAGGTGTAAGCTGTCCAAAAGGAGGTCTGTCTTGCACACAAGAAGCATCTTGGTGTGAAAGAAGACTGGAACAAAAACGTATAATGGGAAAGCTCAAGGGTTCCTATGGTTTAAAAATCTGTCCTCACTGCTTATATTGCAAATTCTGTATCACTTACAGAGCAATCTTGTGCTTCGACTGTCCATTGCTAAACTCACATTTGAATTAGGACGCCTTAGGGACTTGTCCTTTTTAAAGGAGTTCCCCAGCTCCACGCCGGACCCCAGTCAGCACCTCCCAGGCCGGGAGCAGCTGCCCAAGAAAAGGCAGGCAGGTGATTCTGCTGTGCGCTGAGCTTCGAACCACTCATTTACAACCTCAGGCCTCGCAGCTGAAGACGCGGTGTGGGAAAGGCGGTTGAAAGCGTCCGCTCTGGGTCCTCCTGCCCCCCTGGTAGTGAGTAAGCCCCACTGTGCCTCAGTTTTCTCTTCTGTGAATTAGGGACAGAATAGCCCTGCCGTGTGGTGTGCAGTGTTCCTCAGCTGTTAGTAAGCAGCGCGGCTCAACACACCGCCCAACACTCAGCGGCTTAACGCAGCCAAACGTCCTCTTCTGGGACCCCAGCACCCGCTGGGCGGCTCTGCTCCAAGCGAGACCGTCTCCTCCTGGGACCAGCGGTTGGAGCAGGGAGCAGGCCAACCCCAGGAGCTCATTGCGGCCCTCAGCTCCCCTGCTCACAGCCCTCGGGCCGCGCCGCTCCCAGACCAGCCTGGGGTGCGGAGGAGACACGGGCTTCCTGAGAGGAGGCCCCAGAAGGCG